AACTAAAATAGTTTGGCAGGTTGAACTCAACACTGCTGGGTGTAGTTTCTAAGTCTAAATACAGGAGCTTTATACGTGAGCTGTGTCAGCTTTATCACAGTACGTACTGAAATGACAATCTACCTGAGCGTGAAATCCTCCACTTCTTCTTCGTTACTTCCAGGCCTGCTTGTACAAAACTTTGACTTTCAATTAAAGAAAAAAGAAACTAGAGAGAGGTCCGGGAGATGGTCGAACATTGTAAAAATTGGCAGATGACGTTATGGCTTTAGCTCAGCTCCGTGTTTTCTACTCTAATAAAACACGCTCTTTCAACCAATGACAGCGCGCGTTATATCATAAAAACAATTAGATCATGTGCAGAAATGGCAAAGATCGCCCTGACAGAGAGGGTGGTGGTGTCTGCGCTTTTGTCACCACAGGAATCCCGTGTAAGCGGAGAACTGATCTGAAACATCCTGTTTTCGAATGCATGTGGTTATGGCTTCTGCCTCACCGGTTACCACGTCCACTCTCAGTCATTATCTGCGGGATTGTTTACTTTCCTGAAGCGCCAGTGCAAGAAAATAGAGATCGAGTGTCCTACCTGATAGAAACACTAGTCTCTGTTAGGTCTACGCATGCGGACTGCGGCGTCATTCAGTTTGGGGCGATTTTATAACTTTAGACTTTAGTGACGTTTTCGTCCATCATAACCTTAAGCAAATAGTTCGCGATCCCACCCGTGGAAATAGTATCTTGGACCTTATTCTAACCGACATTTGTAATCGTTATAATAAACCTCTTGTAAGCGCAAACCTGGGAACATCAGATCACGGCTCTGTGTTTTGGAGACCTAAACCATCTCGTTATATTACGGTGCGCGCTCATAAGGCCCAGAAACGCAGCGAACGTCGGTTTCCGGAGTCGGCTATTAATGCTTTCGGGAAGTGGGTTTCTCGTCATCATTGGTTCACTGGTCTAGACAGCGTGGCTTCAGTTGACAGCTCAACGGAGTCGTTTAACACTGATGTGAAAACAGCAATTGATATTCATTTCCCACTAAAGTCAGTGAAAATCCATCCCACCGACAGACCTTGATGACATCTCGCATTGAGCAGCTCATCCTTAAAAGGCAGCGTGCGTTCCATTCTGATGGGGATGGCAGATGGAGAGAGCTGCACACCAGGGTGCGCGATGAGATTGCCGCCAGGAAAAAAGACTTTAACTCTGAGAAGGTAAGCTATCTGAAAAATACTGACCCACGGAAGTGGTGGAGTCTCGTTAACAAGCTCTCCGGTAAATCCAGTGGCGCGAGTGCTATCAGTTATGAGGTCGACAATAACGTAATGTCTGGCCTGGAGCTGGCAAATAGGCTTAACAACTTTTCTGTTTCAGTAACATCTGATGTTCCAGCCCTGGATTACCTAAGCTCCCTGCCTTTCTACCCGTACCGGACGAGTTACCCGTCATTCGCCCCACGGAAGTCTACAAAAAACTGCTCAGGCTAAGTCCTTTCAAAGCTTGTGGTCGTGACGCGATTCCAAATCGAATTCTGAAGCTATTCGCGTCCAAACTTTCTGAGCCCGTGACCACTATCTTTAAACGGTCGTTGTCGTCTGGTGACTTCCACTCGGCGTGGAGAGATGCCTATATATCACCAATACCAAAGGCGTCACTCGTCACCTGTGATAATGACCTGCGACCAGTAGCTCTAACTGCATGCCTTTCAAAGGTATCTCAGGATTTGGTTGTCCAGTGGCTCATGGAGGACATCAAGGAGCATATGGATCTAAAATAGTTTGGTTCTCTCAAAGGCGTGTCAACCACCTTTTTTTCTGCTTGATATGCGGCATAACTGCCTATCAGCTCTTGAATCACCTACGTACGTACCTACGAGTGTGCTTTTTAGATTTCTCTAAAGCGTTTGACCATATTGACCATAATATTCTGGTATGCAAGCTTTTGAAAATGGGCGCTAGACCCATTATCGTCAAGTGGATTTGCAGCTTTCTATCACAGAGAAGACAAGCTGTAAAGCTTGACCGGCTCCTTTCCGAGCCCCGGTGCATGCCGGGGTCCCATACGGGACCAAACTTGGTCCAGTTCTCTTTCTGATTATGGTTAACGATTTAGCTTGTAGTTCGAGTTTCTGGAAGTATGTCAACGACACAACTATTTCCGAGGTAGTTGCCCATGGTTCTCCATCAACTATACAAGATAATCTTGACAGCGTTACAGCCTGGGCGGAGGAAAATTGTATGAACCTAAACCCGAAGAAGTGGTAAAGAAATGCGCCTCTCTTTCCTTGCTAAAAATCTCGACGTACTCCAGCACACCGTCAATGATACGTATCTTGAAAAGGTGAGCGTGCACAAAGTACTTGGTATTACTCTGTGTGACAACTTAAAATGATGCCAAAACACCAAGGAGATTGTGGACAAGGCGTGTAAACGTCTATACATGCTAAGGGTTTTGAAACGGGTTGGAGTCCCCCCCCACCCCCCGATCACCTTATCACCCTATATTGCGCCCTTGTACGATCAGTTTTAGAGTACACTTGCCAAGTTTGGAGTAGCAATGTATGGTCACAACTCACGTAGCAACTAGAGCGCGTTCAAAAACATGCCTTGAGGATTATTTTTCTAGGAAGTGACTATGAAACGGCACTTTGCAGAGGCTCCATCCCAAGTCTTTCATAAAGAAGGTTGTACTTATGGGACAAGGCCTTTGAGAAAGCATGCGTGCCCTCCTCGCGCTTATTTTCGAATGTTCCCCCCTGCGTAATGCTTTCCATGGGCGTAACTTGCGGTCTAGCCACCGTATATCGTTTCCGAGATGCAGGACGGAGCGTTTTAAGACTAGCTTTTTTCCGGCAATGGCCTTTCTACAATCGTGATGCATTTTTATATAGCTTGTATATATATAGCATGCTCATCTCTTAAGATCGTCACCTGAATTATTGGAAATTTTTCCATCAAAATCGATTTTTCCAGCATATCGCCGTACCAAAAACCTCAAAGACATTTTGGCGCCTTCTAGATTTTGTATGAGTGGGAAAGTTAGTCAGGCAGAGAAGGAAACGAGAGGTTGTTTTAAATGCTCCTCTAGATGCGACCTTTGTAAGAATTTTTTAATTCAAGATTCCAAATTTAGGAGTTTTTCCACAGGCCGAACCTATAAGATTTGCCAAAACATGTCTTGCTCTTCCAGAAATGTTGTTTACTTGGCCTCGTGCAAGAAATGCAATTTTCAATACGTGAGTTCTACTTCCACTGAATTCAAAGTGCGTTTTCGCAATCACAAGTCATCTATGCGAACAAACAAAAAACGTGCGAGCTTGCAGTCCACTTCATTTGTACCAAACACGCGAAATTTCTGAAATTAATTTTATTGTTATTGAGAAAATTATCAGCCAAGGGGACGCAGCTTATGTTGATAGATTATTACTGACGAGAGAGGCCTACTGGAACGCACAACTATGTACACTCAGTCCCCATGGACTTAGCAAAAGACGCGAATTCAGATCCAAAAATCGCGTCCGCTATAATACTTAATTAGGGCATCATTTACACAATGTAATTGAGTTCTTCGCAACCATTCGTGGTTATTTCGCCTATTGCACATTCTTGCCTTTTACTCATTATTATATCCTATTATTTAGGTTTGGAATGCATTACGCAATACTATTTTTATTTCTTACGTTTAGTATAAATTCAGGTCATTCTGTAAACCTACTAGGATTTTTAGTTTTTAATTTCTATGTAAATACGTTCCACCTGAAGAAGGCCGAAGGCCGAAACGTCGCCACATTAAAGCTGGAACAGTTA